CTTAGTAGCTCTCTCTTTATATTCGAGCATACGCTTGTTTTATATGCTAATGTTGTGATAGCCAGAGTGGTAGTCTGTAGAACGTGGAGTACAGTGGGTCAAGGGTTCTCATACATATAAAGGATACCACCCACTTTTCAAATTCTTTAGCTATAAGCAACAATGAAGCATCCTTTCTCTTCTTTTCAATTTTGAACCCTTTGAACAGATCTAAGATAGGTTTTTCACCCTGTTCTTATGCCCGTATAGCCTTAGTTTGCTGTTCTCATCTGCATAGGCACGCTTGGATTGCACGAGCTCTTGCTTATTGCTTCAGCAGCTGTTTGTTCCTTTTTCTTTCGAGGGCGATAGCGCCCTAGTTCTGGTTCAATAGTGCAGTAAGTATGGATTTAGCTGTTCAGGCTGATAGCTCAGAGCTGTTTGCATTACAGTTTGTAAGAATTAGTAAGAGCAGCAAGTTTATTCTATGAACAAATGCACTCTTTTTTCCCTGCTAAGCTCTTTTATTTCCTTTATCTATTATGCTTATACAACAAGCTATGCATTATATCTGAACTCTGAATCATGCTTGAGATCTCTTGTAGAGAAGAAATAAGTGAATAGAGAAGAAGTAGTATAAGTTCTGATTATAAGCTGATAAATAATGCATTAAGCTTGCAAGCTAATATTACAAAGAAACGAATTTCTTTTTTCAATATTTCTCACATTAATTAACAATTCTATACAGAAGCTAATACAGCTCAGATCTATACAAGCTGCAGCAAAAAGTTTAATTATATTAAATATAAATTCATAATTAAATTATAGAATGAAATGCTTTTAATAAATAATACTCTGCAAAGAAAAGTAGCATGATTAATAAGATCTATGCTTCTTACAATAATCCGATCAGTACACTCTATCTAGATATATCTGGCCATATTAATTCTTTAAATTAAAAGCTTACTAATTACATTATCTCAAAAGCAAAGAATATAAAGAAATGAAAATAAGAAACTATTAATGTATACAAGAAATAAAAATTAAGAATTACAATAATATCATCTAATATCAAACTTTAATTAATATCTTATATCTAATTAGAAATACTTCTATTAATTAGCAGAACTATTAATAAAGAAAATCTCAATATAGTATAGAACAGCTAACTCAATCTCTTATTATTCATTACAAAACAGATCTTATGCATACTCTACTTACAGACTGAATCTCCTTCAAGTATCTGAATCCTCTCAATCTCTATAATATTATTTTCCGCAGGATACGAAAAGCATTTCAGCTATAGCGCTTTCAACTCAAGAATTTCGAATCAGGAAGGCAAAGAAACATTGGAGAAAGCAATAATCAAAAGGGAAGATAGCTTTTATATCTGAGAGCTCTTCTAATCAGATACTCAGTTCAGCTAACTATCTAGCTAACAATCACTATAGTCAGAACTTTAGATTTTCTTCTTATAGTAAGCTTGCTGATAGTGAATTAATATTGTTTGCTTGTATGGAAGTCTTCTTGTAGCTAAAGCAATTCAACTGGTAGCGTTAGATTAAAGGAATTGATAATATTTAAGTACTCAACTTTATGAAAAGCTTCTATGCAAATACAATTATTACTAAAGAAGTAAAGAGATTTACTATAAGTGCTAAAACTTGGAATAAACAGAAGAAGCAACTATTAGTTGCTTATTGCTCTTAGAATTATCTTCAAGCATATATTCTCAAGCAGAAGCATCTGAATATTATTAATAACCATTTTATTACCGATATTACTAGCTTCTGATTATTTATTATAAACTATAACAATGCTCTTACTTATCTTAAGATCAGAGATAATCAATCTATAGCAGAAGCATGGATAAAGCTTTCTTTAATCTGGATTAAGCGCTTCTGAGTTAATCATAGTATTACTGCTAAAAGCATTAGCAACAAGAAGTAGCCTTATCTTATGAAAAAGCTGTTGGAGATTCATTGTAAAGCACTTTAGAAGGAAACTCAAAATCAACTTATCTTCAGTACTATTAATCTTCAACTTTATTAATAAGCTTAATTCCAAGATCCTTCTATGCTTCCATCTCAGCTAGTTCTTAACCAAACACAGCTTGTTCCTGTTCTACATCCGATATATAATACTTCTAATCAACTAATGAATCTATTGAAATAAGCAGTAAAGCTATTATACTATCAACCGTCTTAACAGTTAACTTATAATTAGCAAGCTTAGCTTGAATTAACTAAGCAGATCTTGAAAGCTGAATCTGCTCAGAAGAGCAACTAAGAATATAACTAGTTAGCTTTAATAATGAAGCAATTCCGCATTAACCAAATTGCAATAGCAAAATCCTTAAAGCTGCAAACTAATACTTTCAAACAGATATAGAATATCTTATATAATCAAACTAAAGCTCTACAGAAAATCTTATAACTAATCAGACATTTCCAAACTGTTTCTGCAAGAAATTCTTCCCAGAGAAATACAAATTCCTTACAGATGAATATTATCTATACAAGTCTGAAGAATAAGAGGAAGCAGTATTCTGAAGTATAGCAAGCAGAGATTAATGAAATCCTGAAGAAGAACAGAACTCTGCACAGATGCTATAGCTATAGATTGAAGTTCTATAGAGCTTATAAGTATGTAGAACTCTATACTATTATAAATTGTAGCATTTGCTATACTTCAGTATTAGCAAAGCTAGAGTAGCATCTTAGTAATCGCTTGAAGTTTCTGAATTCTAAATCAAAACTAGTATTATATAGCTAGATCATATTCGCTCGAAATAATTCTAAAAGCAATATAATTCATCTGATTCTCAATCTCTATAAGAATTAGCAGCTGAAGAGTATTAAGAATTCTTGAATCTTTTAATATATTAGTTTGATTCAAGAGAATAAGAAATAGCATAGAGATTCTAAAATAGCTAAGAATAAGATACTATAGAAAGAAACTAATCCTGTTCTCAGATGCAATAATCAGTATAGAATTAATAATATTGAGATTCTTAGCAATGCTAGTAAGATTCAAATGAGAAAGTTATATCTTACTTTAGCTTAAGCTGAATTATATCTACCAAAGCTTCTTAGCATCAATACTATAAGTATTAAGCTTATCTAAGCTCAGATAAATGCAGATAAAGCAAAGAAGCGCTATATTAGAAAGGCTAGATATAATGATAGTAAGATTGAAAGAGATGCAAGTATAAGAACTGTTAAGATCTCTATATATTTCGAGAATATTGGATTAGAGAAATTCAACAAGCAATTCAACAATCTGAATAAAGAGCTAATAGTTCAAGCTATTAGTAACAAGCTCCTGAATCAGTTCCTAAACTACCTATTAAAGATCTCAGACTAAGAGATAATAATTATATTACCAAAATGGAAAGCTCATCTGATTTACAGTCTTCAAGAAGTTAGCTCTAGAACTCGAAAAGTTATTAATCTCGATAATCAAACTAGCTTAAATCTGCATAAGATAGATACTGCTAAATCAGCTAATTCATTGCAGTATAAATTTGAAATCTCGATATTTTTCCAGCTTGAAGAGCTTATTAATAATTAGATTATCAATACTTGGAATATTACTAAGTATCTTTCAAAACTAGCTTAACTACCTGTAATTCAAGCTTTATTTCTTGTTGCTAAATCTAGCTATATCAAGCTTACTATTAATATAATTCAAGCTTTCAACAAATCCTTATTTCTTTCTATAACAGCTTTCATAACTGCTCTTAGTAGCATCCGAGATAGAAGCATCGCTTCAGTAGCATACATTCCTTTGCAGCTAAGAGATAAAGAGAATAAACCTGTATAAGCAATACTAGATACAGATACCGAAATAAGCTTGATAGCTCTCTCTCTGTATTCAAGCATGCACTTATCTTATATACTAATATCGAATATTATCTTACATATATACAATAAATCAGATATAGCACTTATTAAAGTTCTTAAAATCAATATTTTCTATAGCAGCTTCTCTAAACAAATAATATTCTATATTATCAATAACAGATTAATATTGCTAAATCATCCTATACTATTAGAAATGCTATTTATAATGCAAATCAAGCTTTCCTTTAATCATTTCATCCTCGGATTTCTCTATACAAGCTTTGCCTTTGAAGAAGTACAACTAATTACTATAATCAGCAATCAGAAACTTCTTGAAGAGAAGGATTTATATAGAATTATACCAAAAAACTAAGTACTAGCAGCTATCCTAAGAAATGCAGAGCTATTAGCAGAGAAGTCATTCCAGAGTAAGTATTGTTGAAGGAGAGAGATATAGCTATAATATTCATATCTGAATGAAACATTGCAGCTGTTATAAACGAGTTAATAGTGAAACTGATAGGGAGGAAGTTGAAGAAGAGTTGCTTTATAGTGAATAAGGAAGAAGCAATCCGAGAGTCTTGCCTGTATAGAATGCACAGCAGCCAGCGCTATTTACACCAGCTACATTATATAAAGAAGGAAAGAAAAGATATCTTAAGCTTGATCAACACTTTTTATAAGCTTAAAGATAAGAAGATCAAGCTAATTAATAATTCCTAGCCTAATGATTTAGTATTGAAAGGAACAATTGAATGAAAGCTTGCTAAGATTAAGGAAATAAAATGAGCTCAGCGATTCACAAAGCTTACTAAGTATAATAAGTGGATTGAACTCAAGTTCAGCAATCTGAATTCTGATTAGCATCTAAGATCTAACTAGTAAGCTGCTATATAAGAGAAAAACTGTAAAGGATTTTCTAAAGCTAAGAAGGAAATATTCAAATATATATTGAGAAACAGAATCAAAGCTCTTGCATAAGACTTTACTAAGATTGGAAAGATTATTGAGAAAGTAGCTTTCTTGCAAGAAATTAGAACTGTATCCTATAAGATCTTTCAAGCAAAGCATATTTCAATCTCTAATGCTCTCAGGCTAAAGTTAATAAAGCTTCTGAAATAATATATTAAGCAGAAGATCATTGAGAAAAGCTATGTATTATATAGAAACAACTAGTTTCTAATTATTAAAAAGAATAATAGCTTATGTTTGATTAATGATATTCAAAAATATAATAAGTATAGCTTCAAGAATGCTTTCATGCTGCTTATCTTAGATGAATTCTCGGAGGAGTTTGCTATATGCAAGATTCTTTTACTGCTCAACTTCTTTTCCGGATATAATTAAGTATAACTGCATTCTAATAGCAGAGATATAATAATCTTCTTAATATTCTTAAGCTTATTCAGAATATATATTCTATTCTAGAATGCTACTAACTCTATTGCTTAGTTTATAAGAATAATGGTTAGACTTTTATATAATTTTATTCCTTATATATGCTAGCTTTTTCTTAATAATATTCCTATTTATAATCTTATAACAATCTATGAAAATGAAGAAATTCCAAGCTTTTCCGGAATATATAGATACATTGCTAAGCATATCGGAAATCTTAATAAGATTCTTATAAATGTAGAGCTAGCTAAAGCTACAATCTCAGCATTCAAGTTAGAATAGTGCTAAGTGAAAGTTGATATAGTTGATTATATTATTAGTTCCAGCGAATAACAATCTTAGAACAGAAAGATAGAAAAGCTTCTAGCTTGAATAGAATGCAAGAATATTAAGAATATCCGCTCTTTTATCAAACTAATTATCTATTATGCAGCTTAGATTTGGAATTTCGCAATTATTGCTCAACTATTTTATAATCTTCTTAAGAAAGATGCTGTATGGAAATGGAAAAAGGAATAGAAAGAAGCTATTGCTATATTTATTCAAATACTTACATCTTATTCAGTTATTATTTTAATTGATTATAGCATTAATATTAGAAAGATTATTCTTATAATAAATGCAAGCTTATTAAGCTAAAGCGCTATACTAATGCAGATAGTAAAGAATAAATGAAAGCTAGCATATTTCATTAGCAGAATCTGAATAATTGCAATATAGAAATATAATGCTACTAAGAGAAAGTATTGCATTATTTTCTATGCTTTATAATCTCTTTAGCAGTATTTCTATAATTGCTATTTCATTCTGGAAACTAATACTTGCATTCTAGTAAACTAACTCAATAGAGAAATAAATAATATACTCAGTGCTCTTCTGAATAGATGAATAGTAATAATTAAGATATTTAACTTTACTATCAAATATATTTCCGAATCAAAGAATTCTATAGCTAATGCTCTTTCTCAATCTCTATACTTAATACTATCTAAGAAAGATAAAGATAGCAATATTGAGAACTGGTATAATGCTCAGCTTAATAGTATAAACTTAGATAAAGCTAATTTAGTATTACTACTAAATTCAATTCTTTAATAAATAGAATAGTTAAAATAATATATAGAGTTCTTATATTACAGAATTATTCTATTAAAACTCTTTAAGAGAGATTGCAAGAACTTTATAATAGAAGCATTAAAGCATTAAGTACTTAACCAGGCTCTGTAGCGCTGCACTAATGCGAAACTTCTATGCTAATGAGTAGTAGATAATCCTAATCTTCATTGCTAAATCATTAGAAAATATCATGCTAAGTTTGAATATTGAAATCGAGACTCTATAGTAGCTTATATTAAGCAATTCTATTACTGGAAAGATCTCTAAACAGATATAGCTAATACTATCTCAGATTGCAAGAAGTATGCAAAGTTCGATCTAAAGATATGAAAGGAAGAAGTAATCCCAACTCTTTCAAATCAACTCTTTACAAAAATCAATATTAATATTCAATATATAGCTAAGAATAGTAGTTACAAATATCTTGCAAAAGCTTGCTATAATCTGATTAGCTATATACTTACAAAACTTCTCAAGAAAGCTATAGCTGTAGAAATAAGAAAGTTTATTTTGGAAGAAATCATTCTTGTATTCAAATGCTTTTTCAAAATTACTATTAATGGAAAACCAGAAAACAAGGCTGAGATAACTAAGATCATTAGAGCTCTTAGAATCCTGCTTATTCAGATCTTCAATTACAATCCCTATGCTCAAGAACAAATAAAAGCTAATTATTTTTCCTTAGCAAGTGCTCTTGCTAAGCTAGCTAATACTCAACTCTGAAAATAGAAGTAATACTTAAGATTTGCACTTTTTGCTAAAAGAACTACAATTCGCTAATCGCATAGATATAGCTCCTTCTATTTAATTTTCAGTTGAAAGCTGCTTATTCTAATTAAAACTAAAATTCCAACATAAAGAGTTCTTACATAAACCAAAGACTAATCTCCTTAAAAAGCATTTGAAATGCAATTGAGAATAATTGCAGCTAAGAAAAATAATATGCAGAAAGCAATTAAAGCTATTCAGGCATATCATCAAAAGATTATAGCTAAAAGTTAAATACAGAGTCTAATATGAAAATCTCAACTGAATATCAGAAATCTCATGCTTATTTATAATTACATCCGGAAAATAAGCTACTTGTACAATGCTAAGATCTCTTATAAGTAGAAGAATTTATATCTAATTACTCAGATTCTAGATAAACATGCTTATAAGCTCAAGACTATAGATGGAGTTCTGCTAAAAAGCATATATTCAGCTACTAATCTCAAAAAGTTTGTACAGAATATGAATAGCATTTGGGAATCCAAAATGCTTATACTCTGGGAAGAAAATGTTAAGCTTCAATCTAGCTAACTATTAGCAGAAAAGCTGGATTTAATAAAAGCTTCTTAATAAGAGAAATCAAACAATAATATTCTCGAAGTTCAGAAAGCAGATTCAAGCAATAACGCTACATTCTGGATTTCAGATATCATTAAGCACAACCCTATGCCTAGCCAAACCAATTCTAATTCAGAGACTATTAAGCTAGCAACTAAAGCAGATAATAATGCTAAGAATGGAAATGAAATTAGTAATGATAAACATTTCATATAAGCAGCAGAGAAGAAGAAGCAAGAACAGAAGAAAGCAGATAGAAATAGAATATTTATACTAATTCCAACTAAATCAGTATTCCTAGCTTATAAGAAAGATTGATTTCTTTCTGTTCATATTTTCTTTTTGTTTGCAAAATACATTTTCTTTTCATCTTTCCTATTCCATCTTGTATATTTTGCTGAGAAAGAAGGAATAAAGTATCATCTACTATTACTTGCTACAGAATACTGTAAACCCATCTAAAAATTTCAAAGCATTCAGCATAGAGCATATTAACCAGCTCTAAAGCTATTTTCGTTATTTAAAAATTGCAGTATATTGGAATACAATATATAAAAAATGCAAAGCACTAAAGAAATACTGCAATCTATAAAAACTCCTTACTTTTATACATTATCCTCATTACTAGAATATCTATAAATATCATTCGATAGCTCTCTCCTTATCCTATTCAGATTCATATTATTCGTATCATCCGCTGAAGAATCATCATCAAAAACAGAGAAAGAACCTTGAAACTGAACAAACTTAGCTTATTTCTCAATACAAAATCCTACTACAGCTTTGCTCTTGCCTTTATTCTTGCTGCAAAATACAGATTATAAAGCTGCTTATCCAGATTCAGATACTTTCTTCTTGAAAGCAGAAGAAGCAATACTCTTCTTATTAATTTATGCAGATAAAGTTAGCAGTAATCTCCTTAAGCATTGCAATTATAGTTAATTATAAGACTTATAGTATTCTATAAATACTATTTTCTTAGTATAAGAGAAACTCATTTGATCTGATTATATATAATATCTTTATTCTGCATAAGCTTATATTAAGCTTTAATAATATGCTTAATATTAGCATTAGAATTAACTTGAGAATCTATCTTGATTATACATTAAGAGCTGAATTAATAAAATAAGTACTAATGCTATAAGAAGAATAATAATTAGTATATACTCAAATCTGATTAAGAATATCAGAATAAGAATCTTATTTATATACTGTATTCTTTAATACAAGAAAAGTTTTTAGTATAATTATATCCAGACTCTGCATAATAAATGCAATTACTATACTTCTTATTAAAGAAGCTTTTTATTGAAATGTATTCTAGGAAAAGCTAGTTGATATTAATCTGCTGCTTCTGAATAAGCATGCAAGCAGTAGTATATCAATAAGAGCAGCAATTGCAAGAAACTAGATTATACTAATCATAGAACTGAATAAGAAGAGAATTTACTTGCTTAGATCAGAAGAAAATATAAATAAGATACTTGCTAAAAAGCTTCCAACCAGCTTTATACATTATAATAGGATTCAGTTTGATAGAATTCTTATTATCCAGCTTTGCGAAATAAGCAGCAAAGCCAGAGCTTAGCAGTAAGTTGTTTCAAAATATGATATCGCTTTGAATATCTCAAGAAGTATATATCAAGCTAAGATCTCTCTTAATGATATTGAAATCCGTAATATCAAGAAAGTTAATATGAATATCCTTAAGCTAGTAATAGTTACTGCTCTAAGAAGAAGGAACTGAAAAAGAAAATCAGATTCAAACCTTATCAATCTCTTAAGAAGCAGTATTTACATGCAAAGAGAAAACAGCATCAGTAATAATTCGAGATATCTTAAGTATATTATAGAGCTAAACAAGAGAAGATTAATAAAAGAAGAAGTTATTATGCAAAGAATGAATTGAAAAACAAAGTAAACTGAGAAAGAGATTGTTAAATAAATTGCTAAAGATTAATAAAATAGCAATAAATAACAAATACACTTAACTGAATTATTATGCCTTCTATTCAGTTTATTGCTAAACAGCTCCTATCTAGCTAAGAGTAAAGCTGTTTGCTTTGTAACAAACGGAAAGCAGTAAATCACTTGAATAATTACCAGATAAGTGTTATGACCCATCCAACATGCAGGTCACAGAACAAGTCACGAGTAACAGGGACCAGGTGTCAAGGATTCAACGTCCTGACAAAGCATCGATTATGTAACCCAGGGTTAGGGTTATTAGCGGATAGATACAGTCGACGTCTATCCCGTCGATAAGGGAATCGATGGAGTCGACATCGATCCTATCTATCCGAACTGAAGAACCAAGTATATAAAGGTTTATATTTCCTACTGTTAGATAGATTTCCTTCAGATAATTCTTCAGTTGTTAATCTAAGTATTCAGTTTCATACACTGAGTAGCCCCAAAGGCAGTAAATACTTGTATCGCTTATTAGGACTTATACAGTTCCGTATTCAAGAACTTGATACTTTGATACTGCTCTTATTAGC